AAGGAAACGCGCCGCGTGGGGAGCATTTAAGAATATCGAGGGAGTAGTGAAGAAGACAAAGAACATCCGGCTCCGCGCTCACCTTTTCGACACTGCTGTCCTTCCTGCTTTGACGTACGCCTCGGAGACCTGGACTCTATGAAAGCAGGATGAGCATGCTGTCAGCGTTACTCAACGAGCTTTGGAAAGGACGATGCTCGGAATTTCCCTATACACGCAAGTGCAGAAGGGAATCCGGAGTTCCGAGCTCCGTCACCGAACGAAGATCAGGGATGCCGTTGATTACGCCAAGAAATCGAAGATCAGGTGGACCGGACACGTTATGCGATATAGTGATGACCGTTGGACCAGGGCGGTTACTGACTGGATCCCTCGGGACATCAAACGAACTCCAGGAAGGCCGCCAACGAGATGGTCAGATTTCTCCACGAAAGCTCTGAACGAAAGGAATGTTGAACCTCGTGTCCCTGAAGCGAGAACGATTCACTGGACCACTCTGGCTCGTGACAGGGACGAATGGAGACGTTACTGGCGCCCGCTCGAGGAAATCGATGATCAACGGGACGACAGGTGATACAGGTGATACAGGCGATACAACATTGCTCCACCTAGCGGGCAGGTCAGCGATTCCCTTCTCCGAGAACTGGGAAGATTGGGAGGTAAATAAGTCACCGAACACCTGTTCAAGGTGGTAATAAATGACGGAACATTTTTTTGCTAGGAAAGCATTGAGGGTCCGGAACGAATGATAAGGGGCATTATCAGGTGAATACAGTGTGTGTGAAACCGTGTCCCAGCCTAGTTACTCCAATTTTGACGGGTCTTTTTACCTATGTGAGGCCTAGCGTTGTCATGGGCAAGACCGTCGGAAGAGGTTCGTCCAAGCCATTTTTCAAACGGCTTCCCAAGCTTCTGCAACTGACCAGCGTGACAGGAAGCGGTGACAGTACGGCTCTCCCTGAGCAATGTGTAGTACAGCATTCCCTTCAAATCCTAGAAGCAGCAAAGAAAAAACCTCTTGGTGTGGAAGCCAGATTTGACTTGCGTCGCGAGCGGCTCTTCTTCTCGCGGGAGCCAAACGGCGCAGTGCTTGTTAGCGTAGTAGAAGATCTAGCTTTCGTCTTCGGTATTTACGTCCTTCAGAAACTCCTTGCGATGTGAGCGGAGGAGAGCTGACAAATGGTTACCCGGGTATACAACATGCTATCGGTCACATCGAGCCAGCGCTTTTCTGTAAGCGAGGGCCTGAAGGCAACCGACGACTGGGGACACTTAAGTCTGTCGCAAGATTGCAGTTTAACTTCCGGATCATCTTTGACGGTGACGAGAATGACAGAGTCGTAGGCCGGAGATCTGCTAAGAAAGCTCACTCTATCAATGAGAAGTTCCACGGCGGTTACGAGAGTTTTGAAGATGACGAGTGCACAGGTCGACCACCCGTTGTTGGCGACAACCATTTGGTAGCTTTAGACGGAGCCGATCCATATTAGTGTTCGCGACCTTGTTGAACAATATTTATAATGTATTCCACCACAACGACCTGCAGGAGATTGGCCTGACGAAAAAACTCGATTAATGGCCTTTCTGACTTTGCGTGAAACCATTGGAGTGGAGAGGCACTGTCACCATATCGTCGGAACACCCAAAAAAGTTCAGCGCGTATGCCCGGCATTGGTCACCAATACTGCTCCACGAGATGCTCTATCTCGCATCACACAGTCCACCCT